ATTTCTAAACCATCTGTTTTTTCTACCTGTTTCTGAATCAGTTTGGGCAGAAAGGTAACTTGCAGAGTACATAATTTGGAAATGAAGATTATTCTTCTGAGTAACTCTAAACTATTACTATATCTTTCTTCATCTACCCATGTGAAGCTTTGACCACTTTCGTATGACATTCTTTTTCCTCAATCCCTATATATAATGTGAAGAACTGTAATCTGAAAAAATGCAATTCACCTGTGGGAAACCTGGAAGTGTGACAGGAGAGCTACTGCACTCTGCTGCTGTTCAACAACTGGTAGTCAGAACATGCTGCCTCCAATTCTGGAGACAGTGGCTATCAAGAAGAGCGCTGAAGTTCCTTTTGGGAAAGGGCACAGCTCAGGGATGGAGCATATGTTTTGTTTCCCAGCTCAGTTCCTGGCAGCTCCCACTAAAGGGTTGAAGTAGCTGATGTTGGGAAATAGCTCTCTGGAGGGCTAGAGACTGCATGTGGGCAGTCTGCATGTGGGCAACCGGCCGTTCTTTGGATACCAACCATGAGGCTTATTGTTCTCCAAACCCAGCCTGGGCTAGGTTTCCAGTGAGAAGTGCCCTGAGGAGAGCAGGAAATGCCCTATTTTTAGCCCTCAAATTTGCCTGGGGTGCTTGCCCTCGCCGTTTCCCTCCAGCACTGCGCTGAGCCCAGAGTGACAATGGTCTCTGAAAGGCCATGGAGGATACAGCAAGTACCAGGAGACCACAACTAACCTGGGAATTGGACGAGGCTGAGGTGTACATCTAGGAAAGCCTCACAGGAGGAGCATGCTTTTGAACAAAGATAGTTTTAAGTCCCATTTGGCTGGCACAGTAGGAAATTAGAGATGCAAGATAAGGACCAGTCCACAGCTTGAAGAGAACTCTGACAGCAGGGCAGGAAATGTGTCTACCCACCAGCACCCTGCGATCGCAACCTCGTTTAGCTACAGGCAAGGAGAAGAAGGGACCAAGCCTGGCGGCAAGGATGAAGACCAAGGCTGGAATTTGAGGGTAGAAGAGGGGTCAAGAAAAACAGTGAGAGAAGTCAGTGGGACAAAGAAGAAAGCAAAGCAGAGTAGCCTGGTGAAAGAGCAAAACAAAAGAGGAAAATCCAGGATTAGTGAATTAGAAGTTCAAAGATTGCCAAGAAACCATTACAAGAGAAGGGGGATTTAAGGTGCCCGGACCCTTGGAATAAGTCTTACAGGAAATAGAGTCTGTGGAGGTAAACAAGCATGTGTATGACTGAGAAACCGAGAAAGGATATGTGTGTGCATACATGTGTCTGATCCTGACCATCCCTAGCCCACTGGTTAATACAGGCCTCCCAAGGATTCCTCACCCCCAGGGTCTCCCTTCAGTAATACTGGGGTAGTCTGACTTTGCATAAGGTACCCTTTTGGAAATGAAAGTGAACTTTTCAAGCTCCCATACAGATTGGATATGGATAAATGACAGACAGCTTATGCAATTTCTATTTTGGCATTATTCTTAGAGCATCAATTTATAACACAGCACAGGGTTTTGTTCTAAGATTATCTTCAATTTGATTTCTTTTAATATTATTCTCAATTCTCTTTGCCAGTAGGGCCTTTATGATGACGTGTCTCAGCAAGGATTAACGTAGGATTCAGCAGGGGGTTGTTCTGCAAGTTCTTGCTATGAATTTTATAAATTAAAACCCTTCCATTTTTTAATCTCAAAACTCATCTTGCTGTGGGTCATAAGCCTATCATCTTTAGAAATTTGTTTCTTTCTGTCATTAAGTTCCAGTATTTTCTCCCTAAGAACTGACAGAATCATTTGCCAAAGGTTCACAAGAAGCAGCTATCTTATGTTCTTCCTCCCCTTCAAAATATTTGGATAACATCCTTAGACCACATTCCAAATGTTATTATAATCTGAAAAGTGTAATATCAAGAGGTGTTTCAGAGCAAAAAAGACCATATACAGAAATTTGCCACTTGTAACAACATCCAGTAGACATATTTCTCTGAGGTCCGTGCTCAAGCAACTTTTTCCTGCATAGAAACCTGTTGTGATCTGCTTTCCTCCTGACCCAAAGGGGAAAGAATAACCTTGTTTTAAGAAATTCTAGTGTCCTTTAGGCCTTTTTCCTTACATTCCTTACATTTCTTCCTGCCAGATTTGTATTTATAGCCAGTTGTGGCAGTGTAGACAGAAGAACAGACAATATCTGGAGGTTGGGGCTAGAGTAACCCCTGGAATCCAACAGGGGTTCATGCAGTCCTCCTAATCCACCACACTTGGCTACACACTTGGCTACAAAATTGGCGACAGTGGCCAGAAAGTGGACACAAAAACACTTCCAAAATCACAATTATGTTTCTCATACAAAAAGGGTAGGTTCACACAACATGACAAGCAATGATGGTTTATTGTGCAGGATGGTCTGCAATGTTTTCCAAATCCTGTTACAATATTTCTACATGGTATATTTATTTTAGTGATCACAGTAGGGAACACATCTGTGCTACGAAAAAAACTATGCTTTCTATATTTCTATGGTGCCCTTGGTCATCCAAACCTAGCATTTTCTGCAGCAACCATAGAGTCCCCTGGAAAGAGTGGCTGTAGGAGCTGCACTCCAGCCATTCAGCACGGATTAAATTTCAGACTGAGGACTGAATGAGGATGTCAGGCACATCCAGGCCAAAAATATAAAAAGTGCACACCAGGGAAACCATGCAAGGTTGCTTGCCATAATGTATGAACCCAGCCAAAGTGGCATGCCCTGCATGCTTTATTCAGTGGGTGGTCATTGCCATTTTAGCTACTGTTGCTGCAGTTTCAATAGCAAATTCAGTGGCAGGGGAAGAGACAGAAACCACAAACATGACCAAGGGGTCAGCATGTACTACTGCTTTAGACACTGTCCCATTTCTCTGGTATTATGTCAGTATTGACTCTTCTGGCCTGTATTTGTGCAGTGCACAGTCTCCACACTGCCTGCAGAAGCATTAGGTGTGGCTCATGCAGGTATGTTGAAACAAATACGTATTTAAATATCCACATTCCTGTACTCTAAATGGAGGGATAGAATCTGTATGTGTGCCAGCACACACTAGAAATACATGGACTATGTTAAATCCATTCCATCTGTGTTTCACAGATTGTCAAGTATCTTTTGTTCCATCATTTGCACATTGAATGAATCAGAATTTTTGTAGGGCTGTATGAGAATTTTGTTCACTTGCACTCATGCACACTTGTATTAACGTGCATTGGTGCTTGTGTAAGTTAGCATTCATGCTTTGAAAGTGGTTGAAAAATCGCCCACAAATGGGCATGACCATAAAATTTGCTGGTCTGTTGCAGAATCCAGAGGCAGGATTCATAGAAAATCAAACATAGAATTGTTCATAGAATTTAAGGCAGATTTTTTTTTTAATTTATATCCTGCCTTTTTCCTACAAAGGGCTCAAGGCAGCTTACATCATCTCTCCTCCTCCATCTTATCCCCACAACAACAGCCCTGTGAGGTAGGTTGGGCTGAGAGTCTGTGACTGGCCCAAAGTCACCCAGTTGGCTCCATGGCCGAGCGGGGACTAGAACCCGGATCGCCTGAGTCCCAGTCCCGTGCTCTTAACCACTACACCACACTGGCTCTAGTTTGGCATGCTGCCCCCAAACCCACCATAATATTTGGATGTCTTAGATTAAGGCAAATTCAGAACAGCCAGCTAAAAAGGTATAACCGACAAGATGTGAAAGAATTGTTCCCTCTAGAAGTTGTGGTTTTTCTGCAAGACTGAAAATTCAAAGTTCATTATTCCGGTATTTTGAAGAGGCAGGACTCTTATTCTTCACTGAAGGATGTTTATTATATAGAAATCTGAAGGTTTTTGATATTATTACATTTATACCCCTTCTTTTTCCTCTTGCAAAAGATCCAGTAATAAAGATGAATATCAAAGTGAACTGTGGGTACTTCACTCTTTAAGTGCTCCTTGCTTCAAAATAAAGGACAATAGGTTGGTTCCAAAACTAGGCCAGTTTCAAAGAATGGCTTCTGTTCTCTTTCCATCCTTCTAGCTTTAGGTGGCTCAAACAATCATTGCATTCTTTGTTCTCTGGGGGTCAAAATGCCTAATTCATCCACTCTGACATATTCTGAGCCTCTAAATCAGGGGTCTCAAACTCAACTTACCTGGGGGCTGCTGGAAGTAGAGTCTGGGTGAGGCTGGGCCGTATCAAGTATTCCACCACCACGGTGGTGGTGGGCCGCTCATCCCGCAGCCAGCCCGGGCACCGCCGGCGCTTTGAAGGCCGCAGGGCCCCTCCCCCGTCCCCCGCCCGTCCCGGCAATTGGCCCGTGGGCCGCGAGTTGGAGACCCCTGCTCTAAATCATATTTAGAGCACTGACTCCTACTGTCCCCAGGATGTCAGTTGCCCTGATAGAGTGCTTGTCCTGCTTCCTGCTGTCCACCAACTGTTCTGGATGGAGTTGTAGTCCCCATAAAAGAGCAGGTTTGTAGCTTGGGGTGCTAATTGATCCATCTTTGTCCCTTGAAGCACAGTTGGTCTCAGTAGCACAAAGCACCTTCTATCAGCTTTGGCCAGTGACTCAGCTACACCCCTCCATGGGCAGGGATAGCCTAGTTTCAGTAATCTGTGCTCTAGAATCTCCAAATCAGCAATGTATTTTATGTGGAGTTGCCCTTGTAGAATGTTTGAAAGTACAGCTCGTGCAAAATATGGTAGCCAGATTAATAACTGGCACCAAAAGATCTGACTATATCTGGCCCTCTTGAGTTGACTACCTTTATGCTGCTGAACACAGTTCAAGGTGCTGGTTCTAACCTGTAAATCTCCATATGGCTTGGGACCATGATAACGGATGAAATTCCTCTCCCAACCTCAACCTACACAGACCCTACAATCTATCTCCGGGATGCAGTGAGAGCATCAGCTCTTTGTTGACTTTGCAAGGGCCTGTATACTCAGATTCTGACACCGAATGTAAGACAAAAAATGTGGGGCGCTGACCCAGTAGGTCAGCTGCTTTTTATGATTGTTGCTTTTTACTTCTTTTTTTTTGTTTTGTTAGGTATATATTAAGAATAAAACGTATTCAACAACAAAAAAAAGAAAGACTTGGACACCGGGGAGGAAGTAGTGGGACAGCAGGAGGATCAAAGTGGGGGGTGTAGGAGGCATTGAAGCCTCTTCAGCGTTGCGGCCTGCATTTTCTCAGGTCAACTATGAAAGCAGACAAGTTTTGGAAGAAATGTGAGGGGAACCAGGAGAGGAAGAGCTGTTTCCTTGCCTTGTCCTTGATGCCATGAAGAGGCATCAGGAGGTATGAGCTACCCAGATAGAGGGCTTGCATAGACCGCACCAGCTGGCTCTTTAGCAGTGGGAGCCACCGTGAGTGTGGAGCCCACAGCATTACCGAAAAGGAAGGATTGGGGAGAAGTTTCCAGCCTGGGTTCGACACTTGTTACCTGAGTAGAAGCATTCTGTTCAGCTTGCTAGAAGGCTTTTGTAAGTCTCGTACAAAAGATCTGCATTGTAAGGGGCTGTCCAGTGTTTTGGAGCCTAGGGCAAGACAAGAAGGGTCTGACTCAAGACAGGGGCTTTCCTCCAACTGCCATGTCCAAGAGCAGCCCAGAAAAAGGTAACAAGGAGGAAGGATGCCAACATTGTCATCTTTTTGGCCTCAGGTTAAAACTGCCCTTTATTTCAAGGTATGTAACAGCACATGATGCTGTTTCAGTTAGGTATATTTTAATGAAAATTAAACTTTTTTATATTTTTGTATACTGGAATATTTTAGGTGTTTAAAACTTGCACACTGAAATGTTGTATTGTGTCTTATTGTATTTGTATTTTTATTGTATCTTTTTAATTTTATCAACTGTTACGAACTCCCCAGAGAACCTTGGCTTCTGGGTGGTATAGAAATGAAACAAATAAATATACAAATACGTAAACTGCTATGGCCTAGTGCATGGGTCCTCAAACTATGGCCCAGGGGCCGGATCCGGCCCGCCATGCCCATTTGGACCCGCCGCACACCTGCGCCCACCTTGCCTCGCATGCAGGGAGGCAGTGGTTTGTTCGCTGCCTCATGCGCCTGCCTCATGGTGCGTGCTCGCCCCTGCCTGCGCCTCGCCCCGTCCCCACCCCCACGCCGGCCTGCTTGCACCGCCAGCAGCACCTTTTCAGCCTGCACCCAGCACTGACAGCTTTCAACTGGATCCCTGGCCCAGTGGCTCCTACTGCCCTTAAACAGGGTAGTTCCTGTACGGAATTTTGGAGACATTCTTCTTTGCCAAAGTCATAGAGCTTCCTGTTCCAAACCTTTCTAGTCTTGCTCTCTCCTCTCTAGAAGGCCACCAAATCACTATTTAAATTATGTATGCTTCTGTTAAGACCGGAAGCACATCACTTTAAGCCAGCCACAGTCCTGCAGCCAGCCTTCGTTGTTCGGGAGAGCAGCTGTAGTTGTAGGTAGAGCATTTTGGGTGGTTAGCCAATCAGCCCCTCCACACTATCTTTCTAGTCTTGCATTATCCTTCCTGTTGGGCATTCAAAGGAATACTTTCTGTGATTGCTATCCAGAGCTCGGCTGGTTTAATTTTCTTGTTTGAGTTTCGGCTGGAACAACTCAAAGGTTTTGACAAGGTGCTTGGCCAGCCTGGCACTAGCCCTGCTCCTCTGTTTGGACATCTTGATGAGACCATCTGTTCCAGCTGACAGGAGCCTGCCTGATTAATCCACTGACTGAGTACATGCTAGCCTTGTAAGTTCTTCAATTAATCAATAAAGAATCTCCTTGTAAACGAACCTGGAGCTGGCATATCAATTTCTTGAGTTTCCAAAAATATGTCATTGTATAGGGCAAACACCTATATAGTCATACATGGCTTGAAACCTCAGTAAATGATGGAACAGCTCTTTCCACCTGGATCCGCCTGGACATTGTGATTTATACCTGAGGCTTTTTCCATGTGCCGAGGACTGAGTGCTGGTGACCAGGCAGTGGGACTAGCTGCTGCTGGTTCTTAACACCCCAGGTAAGTCCTGACAAGCACCAACATAGTCATCTTTTCAACAGCTAGTTAAGAATTCCCTCTACTCCCAAGCACTTAATGGCATGTGATGGGACATGTCAGCTGTTTTAAGAATTCTAGTTTTAAATGGTCTAATTTTTATTTTAAAAACTATTTTTGTTGTTTAAGTTGTTTTAAAATTTAGTATATTGTAATGTTATATTTTACCGTGTCTGCATTTTATGCTCATCTTATTACTGTATTTGTGTTTTATCCATTACTGTGAACTAACTAAAGAATAGCAATAATAATATAAAGGACTGAGCAATTCAAAATTTATAGTGGAAGGCAACTGGATATTTATTCATTAATTTTACTGGATTCTGGACTGATTTTTCTGCCCAGAAATCTTGAGAAGAGATCATGCTGAGTTGTACGTATTGGAAAAATTAGAAATCAGATTATGGACTAAGTGCCTGCTGGCCAGGTAACTATTGTGCGCACAGCAGTGTTTCTAGTCCTCTAGGACTCCTTTTATCCTTTGCCCTCAAGTACTCAAGAAAAAAGATGAAAAGCATTGCACAGCATAATAAAGGGTTATGCAGGGCAGATTTTTTTGAGATTTCTTCAAGTAATTTGAGAATTTCTTCAAATAATAAAGAGATTTCTCTTTATTTAAACCTTTAATGATAAGCTCCCAACACTGTTGTACCCATAACAACTGCAGAATAAACAAACTCTTACTTGAGGCAAACAAACAAACTTCTTCAGGCTGGGTAGAAAACCCAACTGAAGATGAAACTGAAAAGCAGATCAAAGGAAAGTCTGCTGTGTAGGAGTCTAATTCTAGCCAATAATACAGGGTCTAATATGTTTAACACTTCAAGGGGCATATTACTCTGAAAGCTGCTTTTTAAAGGATCACTTAAGCAATTATAGAGTAATTTAATCTTGAAAAATCCACTTCAAGAGGAGGTGTACACCTACCACGGGATTTTTCAGATGATTGTATTCCTAAATTACTCCTGTTCTTAAAGCAAGCCATCATTCTTTAAATGTCTGCCATGTCACAATGTAGAAATACAGTTTCTAAAACAGTCTGGGAAGATACCAAAACTTGGAATGCTTGACCTGGTGAAAATGGAGGTAATTTAAGAGCATAGACAGAGTATTTTTCCTTCCCAGTTAATCCTTGGAACACATGAAATGAGCCAGCTTCAGGTTTGTGTGTTTTGCTGTTTAAAGAAAGAACAACAAAAAGAAGACCAGCTACGATAATTTTCCCCTTAACAAAAACAAGGATTTATTTATTTATATTAATTTTAAAAATTAAAGGAAAGAAAGGTGAAGCCTCTAATTGGTGTCTTCTTAAACACAGAGACGTGCTTCTGAGATTTGCCCAAGTTCAACTCTGTAGGATGTGTATGAAGCCTGGAAATCATTTTTTTTCCAGTGGAAAAAACAAACAAGTGCTTAGGAATGCTTGCCACAATACAGTGCTTTAATTTGTGAATAACTGTTTGCTCTTTTAAGCCTATAAGATAGGGTGAGTAAGAAATCTGACTTGCTGCTTTGCTTATACAAATTTATTCTTTCAAGGCAAAATACAAATTCCTGTAACTGAAACACATTATAAATTTGTGCTTCTTTCATTTCCTTTGCCATCCCTAGTTCTTTTACTGCTTTGCAAGGATTTGGCATTGCTTCACTTTGCTATGTCATCTCTGAAAGGCTCTGTTGCTTCCAGTGTATGAATCTGGCCCTGGGGCTGCATGTTAAGATTGTTAAGGGACTTGCTGGATCTGCTTTTTTCTTCTTCTCTTGATAAGTAATTATGAGCAATTTGCTGACTGTTATGAGTATAATAAAAGGTTCTGTACTACTTCAAGATGAAATAAAATTACATTATATTGTAGTAGCTTTCTGAAGAGTTTTCTACTGTCTACAGTGTTTTCCATGCCATATGCAAGTAGCTCGCACACATTTTCATGCTGGAAATTGGGGTGATTTATTTCAGGGATAAATATGTAGCTCTTGACTTACATAAATAGGACAGTATTAGACACTTGAACATGTGTTTGCAGGATGAGCCTGTGCACCAGTAAGCAGTGTGTGCGTTGTTGTTACGAAAATAAAATGTGATATTAAATTTTTACTCTGTATTTTATTGCTTTCTGCCTGTGTCACAAAATATTAATTCACAGCATTGCATATTCTGAAGTGATCATTTAGTTCATCATTAAAAGAGCCAACAGGGATTTTAGAAAACAGATTTGTGGATATTAATCAGAATAAAATACAATAGTCAGTGTGGTGTAGTGGTTAAGAGCATGGGACTGGGACTCAGAGGATCTGGGTTTGAGTCCCCGCTCGGCCATGGAGCCAACTGGGTGACTTTGGGCCGGTCACAGACTCTCAGCCCAACCTACCTCACAGGGTTGTTGTTGTGGGGATAAAATGGAGGAGGAGAGATGATGTAAGCTGCCTTGAGCCCTTGGTAGGAAAAAGGCAGGATATAAATCGAAAAATAGATAACTAAAAATAAAATAAATATTAAATGTATAGCTCAATCTTATGTATACTTACTCAGAAGTATGGACAAATGATTTTTTAGCATTTACTCTCATGTAAGTGTAAATAAGATAAAAGAATTTTGAAAGCAAATGCCACCTTTTCATAAAGGGCTACTGTATGGTGAAGCATACTTTATATACTCTGCAGTTTGGTATTCACCTTGCAACAACACACCAACGCACAGGCCATGAGTGTGCACAGTTCCAACTTTTCTACAAGAAACACGTTTGCCTTTTTGCCACTGATAACATCATAAACATATATTCTCTTTAGTTTGTTCTGTAAGTATATAAGCAACAAGGAATGGCACACTCAAACAGAAAATAAAATCAGAATATATTGAACTACCTAGTGGATGCATTGGTCTTGACCTACAAAATTTCTCTTAGTTACCTCGCCTTGGCACCTTTAGTACTCTTTGAACAACATAGAGGAATTGCAGGTGTTCCACAGTTAGCACTGGATGTTCTGTCTCTGAAGGTCAGGAGACACAACTAAGGAAAG